TGAATATTAGCCCGAGCTGTGAGGTTTAGCATGAGAGCATGTACCCTATAAACATTATAGTAAAAGCTATCACCATGTAATTTCCCAAAGGTAAAATATACAATGAAATCATTTATTTATAGTAAAATGAGGTCACAATCACTCTTGTCCGAAAGATTTTAAATCTGGTGGTTGTAAGTAGGTCATTCACTAGACTCAAAGTTTTTTTATAAAAAAAAAACAAAGAAATTCAAACATGACAACACACCTTAAGTCATCAAATTTGACATTGATAGCTAGGAGTTATTGTGGCCTCCTTGTAACAATAGTAAATGGTCTCATAATATACAATCCCTTTTTTAAACGTAAATGTAAATCAAGTAACAAGAAATTTTCTAAGTAAGATCTCTCTCCCTCATATATTAACATGAAGCTTTCATTGATCACTTTAAAGAGATGTAGGTATAAGTTGTTACATGTCAGTCATACCAGTCAATGAACCTTAACAAAGAATCAAAATTTGACTATTAAAATTGTTCTGGCTACACCGTCCTTTGCTAGGGTATTGGCCTCCAAATTGCACTCCCTATAGTGGTGCATGAATTGTATCTCCCTACCTCAGTTTAGGTCATTAATTTCACCAAAATTTGGGATTAGGGCCAATGTTGCCTTGTGTGCTCACCTGCACATTAACTACTAACATTGATGGTGTCACCCTCTACTATAATCCTTCTTGTAACACCCTACATTAATTTAATTTTAGGCCTTAAAGCAAGGCCCTAGCCTTTGCCCTAGTGGCAATGAATGATAGGACCCAAAGTATAGCCGTATTCTACCCCTACTGGGGTTTACTACGAACTGTCATCAAAATTTAGTTTGCCGGAACCTACAAGTAGGGGTTCCACTGACTGACTTTGTATATTCTTGCAACATTAAGGTAGGAAACACCCCAAAGGTTAGATAGTGTGCATCTTCTTTAGATACCCCAGAATTCTATTACCAACATAGCCCACTCTATTGTGGTTGGTACAATCTTTACCTTTACAGTCTCTATTTCTACGGAATTTCTTTCAAAAGTTCTCATGTTCCTTTCTTTCCATTGGCATCATAGTAGGGCCGACGGGATTTGCCCAATTTTGGCAGTGGAGTGGTTGTGCAATGCAGAAGCAGTTTTCAAGGCTCACCGGTTTCACACACAAAATATCCCAATCAAATGTAGGGTCCAAGCTCACAACTTCCCTACATAAGAGCAATGCAAAAGCAAGTGGTTGCATAATTTCTGGGTGGATATTGCACATGAGGCACGCATTCGGCATAACCATTCTTATATGATCGAGAACTTCCACCATTCCAAGTCCTGCTAGCCAGGTAAAAGTCTTATCTGGGTCAAGAGCTTCCATACCTTGGATATGGTTCTCTGTCTCTCATAGTACAGTGGCGTGTACAATGAACTCACTGAGGAGGTGACCTCCGAAACAACCTTGTCCTCTATTCCCAGGTAACAGTATAATTGCCGAAAGTTATTCAGCAAACCTGTGAGCAGGGAGAGGACCGAATCATTAACTGTCCTTCACCTACATTCAATAGACCAAATTGTGTCTCGAATTCCAAATTTCAAAAAAAGAAGACTATAAGGAATTGCACCTTCAAAAGTCGGTTACCAATCCGCTTATAGAACCAAAAACTCGTTCGATGACCCTCATTAACCATTGTCCATTTGTTTCTAAGTAACAGTGCTAGGCATAAGTCTATACCCCTCCACTCAGCTGAGTTCTTGGACTCGGATGTGAGTCTCATAACCAGTCGGCCACCTTGCTCCACCCCTATATTTTCTAATGACAATTTACCTCACAAGTGGTTGGTCTTAGTGGCACATAACCTGCACCACTTGGTTATTTAGGCTGAATTCGTAAGCTTAGGAGTCCTAATGCCAATTCACCATTCCTTGGCCCGGCTTACTAGATGAAACTCGTTTGCTGTATAAAACTCGTCGCCACAGAAAGTGCTTCATCAATGCTTCCAAGCATTTGACCACACTAGGCATGTAGAGCGCAGATATGTTCTATACAGATAGGCACCTAGCCTTCCATAGGTCCAACTTTTTTTGGAATTTGAAATTTGTAATAATGACTCTCTCTAAAATTTTGAGATGTTTTTTCTTTCTAAAAATTTGAAATAACTTCTCTCTGAAAACGTTGAGATAGTTTTCTCACTAAAAATTTTAAAATAGTTTCTCTTTCTAAATATTTTTTAGATAGTTTTGCTCTCTAAGGCTTTAAATTTCACATATATTCTCTCTAAAAGTTTTTAAATAATGTCCCTCTCTAAAATTTAAAATTTGAGAAAGTCTCTCTTTTAAACTTTGAGATAGTTTCTCTTTCTCATAATTTGAAATTTGAGATAGGTTCTCCTTATAAAATCTTTGAGATAGTTTCTCGCTCTAAAAAGTTTCGCTTAGTTTCTCTCTCTAAAACTTGAAATTTGATATATTTACTCCCTCCAAAAATTTGAGAGTTGGATAAGGGCTTGAGGAAAAGAGATTGGCCTAGGTTGGAACCCATGAAAAGTTTCTAAAACATATTTTAGCATATACTTTTTTAAAAATGTTTTTATACCTCCGCTACTGTAGAGAGATATATACTCTCCCCATCCAGCCTTCTAATTTATATCAAGTGAGCCACTAAACCGTTTGATCTAAATCCAACAGTTAAGAGCATTTTATTTTTGGTTTTTTCTATAAATTGTATGAATATGAAATTTGGTACATTCTATAATCTCAATGGAGAGCATCTAAAAAAAATATTAAAAAGAACACACCTTCGCAATGGGCTTGAAGAGTGAGATTAAAAACTACGAGCCTTCACCATGGGCCGTGCGGAATCGGGCTCAGGCCCGGCTCAATAAGGTCCTAACCGGGTTGGGATTGAACAGTAGATTTCGGGACCTGTCCTTATCGGGCTTCAGGTCCTGCCCATTAGCAGCCCTACTGAAGCCCTGCCCATTAGCAGCCCAACTGACATGCGAGGAGTTAATTAGCAGCCCTACTGAAGCCCTGCCCATTAGCAGCCCAACTGACATGCGAGGAGTTAATTGTGACTCTCAACATGTAGTTATCGGGTGAGGCATTTACTCTTTTCTACCCATGATGAAATTGTTTTTGTTGCCCTACCTGTTTTTTTGAGATAGATTAGGGGATAGTTTTTTTTTGGAAGCTGTTAGTGGGTGGTGTCGGCAGGATTGAAAATCACAACTTGATAACTAGGTACGGGGTGCTACCACCACCACGACCCAACATGGCAATTCCTAGCTTCTAGCTCACCAATTTTCCACTTCCACCATGTTTAGTCACCAGAGAGAGCTTGAACCACTGCATTCTCATTCATGAGACGAGACTCAAGGGTACCAAGTGTTAAAAATGCATCCAATGAATACTTCTAAACATTGCAATGAATCCTTTAAATTGGGAAAACCCCATTTTAACTCAGAAATGGATCACCCTCGATGCTTATCCAGTTATTCCGAGAAACGCATCCTACTTTTGTCATCGCCTACCACAAATCTACCCAACATGGCTATTTCTCTCTCAGTAAACAACAGCCAAAAAAGCATCATCAATGGTAAGAATTGGATGATGCCCTTGACTGTAGATGCCTGAAACTTGGTTAAGAAATTTGATGAACCCAAGTCAATATCATGGGGAAACTACAATACAAATTTTGGAATGTCTCCTACTCTCAAAATCACATAACATTGTACAAATGCTCTTTTGAAAATATTATGGAGAAAGATGAACGTCACAATACTCGAATAATCCATTTTTCAATTAGTATAACAATGTCACACTATTCCAAGACTCACCACAAAATAAATAGAAGAGGAACAATTAAGATGAGGAGGAAAAAAAAAAAAACTTTTTCATTCAATGATGAAAAATGGGTTAGACAAAAGCATTACAAACTGATTAATGTGACCCAATTTACTGCCGACATACCTGTGTTTAAATATAAATTCTTACAACCATACTACAATAACTACCCACTTACAACAATAACTACTAACCGCTTAGTAGTTCCATAACTTCTTTATTACACAAAATTATAAAATCAGCCTCACTATATCATTCAAAATAAAATCTAATATGATTTCTAGATAATACACTTTAACAATTTTAACAAATATATATACCATGTTAGTGGGAAAATGAATCAAAGGATTGCGCGCCTCCACTCTTGAATGCCAGCTATATTATATACTTTGCACCAAAGATGAGGTGTATCATCTAGCACTCTTCCATCAAATTCTTCACCAGAACAAAACACTCGTTGGAGGGAAGCTATCTGCTGCAGTCCTTCTGGAAGCATCTTCAACTTGTTACAATGGTTGATAATTATATCTTGAAGGCATGACATAGATCCCTCCTCCAAGTTCTTCCACTCCTTCCAAATTGATGACGCAGGCA